TTAATTACTAATCAATTTCATACATTCATATAGTTTATTCGCATGAGGGATAACCTGACCACACACAAGGAATTTATCGCGGCGGTTCAAGAACAACTCATGGGATTCATCAACGAAGAAATCCTTGATCCCAAGGGTGAATTCTACTACGACGGAAACACAATTCACCGGTCCTTAGCTTCTGAGCTAGCAGCGAGTACTACTACGTCGAAATCGTAGCTAGCTAGGACATATAATGGATTGTAATTAATACATGACTACATATGTTTCTATATGCATGTGTACACATTTTCTATAATGTAAATATATTTTGTTCATATATATATCTATATACATATGCATTTGCATAACATATATATGTATAAATACATATATATTATGCATGTATATACATATAATATAATATAATATAATATATATATATATATACATATATATATGTATGCATATATATGTATTGAAACATATATATGCATGGTTTATATATATATATATATATATATATATATATAAACCATGCAGCAACAGGGGCATGCAAAAAAAAAAAAAAGGTCAGCTCGATCTTTAGTCCCGGTTGGTGTTACCAACCGGGACTAAAGATCGATCTTTACTCCCGGTTTGGAAACCGGGACTAAAGGGGGGTTACGAACCGGGACTACAAAGGGTTTCTCCACCAGTGGTATATCGCAATTGGAAATTCTAGCAATTGACAACTACTTGTGGGTAACCCCAAAGAGAGGTAACTTATAACAATTGAAAATTATGAAAGACCATACATACTACTTGCAGTATTTTTCTGAAGTTTAACCATGCTCAGAACAATGATTCAAATATACAGGGTGTACTTTGAGAACTTGTGCAGGCTAACAAATTGCCTTTCGTTATGCCACAATTTACTAGATTGACTATCTCCCAACATGTTGAGTGATCATTCAGGCCTAGTTTTGTCGCTAATGACAATAGAGGCATTCAAATAATCTAGTGATGAACAAAAAACAGTTGCACGAAAACAATGACATGAGAAAGAAACTATAGCTTAGGCCCAACATTATTACTCACTCAAAAGAGCTTCAAGATGAGCTAGTGCAGGCCTGTATGAGTAAAATTAAAGTAAGGAAATCTAAAAAGTAAACCTCCAGTCACCTCTTTAACTCACCTAATATAAAAAAAATAAATCAGAAGCAGAAGCTACTCTATTGGCACTTGGAAAATCATATGCCTAGGTACATATAATACCATTCAGCTGAATTAGTCCATTCATATGGCCTTACATTAATCAGGCAACTCTGTTTGATGGTTCCCTGCTCTGAAGAAGCATGCATCAAACTATGCTAAACAAGTATGTGGAAATTAGATTTTAGTTGTAGTTTTTACATTTTGGTTGCAGTCCTAGGAAGGCATGGAGCCAAGTATATTCTGGGTAGAAATGGGAATCAGTTGGAACTGAAGAGAGAGTACTAGGATTTTATTCGTTGCTGCTCTTTGTTAGTACACTGGTAGTACTTGTGATAGACTAATATTACTGTGCATTAGAAGATTCAGATAAGCTAGCTAGTGCAGCTTCTCTGAATCTCTGATACACAAAGTAGCTACTGATACAATGCACTCTGTCCCTACTCTTCTTATGTAACCACCACCCCCATGCAGGAGATGGCTAGCCAAACACTACTCCTGCCTCCCTCTCCTCCTACTGCCCCAATGAATGAATTTTTTTTGAAAATAATACGATTTTAATGGAAAATCACAAAAATATAAGTCGGTTAGACGAAATCGTAAGAATAGCACCCTGTCAAACAACCGGGGTTCGACAGGGTACTGCGGCAGTTCGATAGGTGATAAAAAAAACTTCAAAAAATCGGAAAAACACTGTAGCTTGAAAGTTCGATATGTCCTGAAGCGGTACTGTTCACGCGACCCTATCGAACTTTGTTAGTTCGACATGTTCCTGCCGATTCCTGTAGCAGTACTATTTTATTTATTTTTTTTTGGACCAACTACCCTGTCGAACTACCACACCCCCGTCGAATCAGGGTTGTTCGATAGAGTGCTGAACATGCGTTTTCGCCTAATCGACCCATATTTTTACAATTTTCCATTAAAATCGTATTATTTTTTAAAAGAATTCCCAATGGAACATACGAAAAAGTACTCAGAGACCCAATCACACCAACCAGCAGAGACCCCAAAGTTGCATCCAAGAACACACACAAGAAAAACCAAAAAGAACTGCACCAAGAACTGCAGGTCAAGCTTCCCTATCCTCTAATCCATTTTGCAGCCACTACGTACGTACCTCCATGCATGTCACTTCCGCTCGCTGTACTGTATATATTCACTGTCAGGGGTTCGATGCCGGCCGCCGCCACAGGCAAGCCAGGTGTGGGTTAAATGGCGTCAAGAAGCACTAACACTAGGACATGGGAGAAGAGAGGGGGAGGAAGTACGTACTCCTACTTACCGGCGGCTGCCGCAATAGCTAGCACCCCTGGCGACGGCGCCTGATCCGGTCGCGTCGCGTGGTTTTCTTCCACATACTCGCATTCACCCTGCCGCCTCGGCCCCACCTTGAATTCGCCAATGACGCCCTCCGCATGGCCGATCGATCGAGCTAGTCTGCCACGGAATTAGGTGACCTCGCTTCCTTCCCGCCCCAGCTGGCGGCCGCCGGCCTGCGCCTACCTCGTTGGGCGGTCGCATATATATATATATATATCACCTCCCTCACCCAAGGCCGCGGCCTGCACCGCGCGTCGTCGTCGCTGGCCGACCCTCGCCTCCTCCACTCCCGTCCTTCGAGCTCCTCATTCTCGCTCCACTCCGCGTCTCCGCCGCCGTGGGTGACAAGGCCAACGTGATCCTTTCACAAGCCCGGTTCCTCCAAGTGATGCCCGACATCCCCGCCTCCTCCTCATCGCATCGCCAGGTTCGTCGATCGGTTTAGGAGTTATTTCCGAGGATGACAATGCGGAAAGAAGAGGGGAAAGAGAGAGGGGCGACGACATGGTCCCACTGCATTTTTCTTTTAACTTAACTTTTTACCGAATACTCACTAATATGTCCCATGATTTTTTTCTGATTTTGTCAACGCCACGGTGGCGCTTGCACTGGTTTTAGATGTTGAGGGACGCGCCATATCTGGTATTTTGCAGTTCATGGACGAATTTCAAACTCGACGATAGATTTAGGGACCTAAAGTGAACTTATTCCTAATCGAATACACATTTTTTTCTATGGGCTGTGATTCAGTCCGCATTGAGGTGATCCGCAGCCCAACCCCAGCCATTCCCGGGCTAACCGAACAAGGCCTAAGGGAGATGTCAATTTTTGCATTCAATTGGAAGGGGAAACAAGCGGGAAGGCAGATCGAATCGGTGGCAGCGCTAGGGTTCCTCAAGCAGAAGAGGATTGACAGGCTTGGTGGGCTAGCCGGGGCATGGCCGTGTGAGGAGGAGGGAGGCCTCGGCCTTCACCTAGACCAAGCAAGGGAGAGGGGCGCATGAGCGGCGAGGGGTGAAGGAGGGAGGACTAGGTGGGCTGAGAAGGTTGTGGCCCAAGGGAGAGAGGAGACCTAGGAAGGAGAGGGAGATGGGGGAAAGGGGTAGAGGAAAGAGGAGATCACTCGTGGGCCGAATTGGAGGGAAACGGACGTCGAGCCAGATTCGGACCAAACAGAGGGAGAGGATTATTTTTATGTTTTTTATTTTAATAAACTCTGAAATTAGTTGTTGTTGCCCTAAAATCAGTTATTGTGCTACAAAAATTTAAGTAAAAATTGTTGAGAAATTTTAGAGTATGAAGAATTTAAGAGAGATACTCCAAGCGACATTCGATTTTTTTTTCTTGCGTGTATTTTTGTGTTTGAGATTTCTTTTATACTTTTAATTATTTCTATCATTTATTTTAGGAAGTGATTTTTAATTTGGGATGAATTTATCATGATGTGATAGGTTACAACCATTTCGTACCAATAAGAAACAAACAAAGTTAATTGCTCGTACATGTGGTTGAAGAGTCACGTATCTAGGAGAGAGGGAGGGGCCGCCTCCGTCGCTGCCGGTGCTCGAGCTCCCCCCTTCGCCAGATCTAGGAGGGGGGGGGAGGGGAATGGGAGGAGAGGCGCCGCTGCCAGCGCCCGAGCTCCCCCGGCCTCTGCTGGATCTAGGAGGGAGAGAGAGGAAGGGGAGGGGAGGCGCCGCCTTCACCACTGTCGGCGCCCGAGCTCCCCTCTCCGCCGGATTTGGGAGGGGCCGCGTCGCATTCGCTGAAGTCGCCTCCCCCATCCGCCTGCTAATGCCGCTGCCGGCACACTCCCCTTTATGTGACTCGTGAAATATGTGGTTGTGGGATCCCCTTTATTGCTAAGCTCCACCGCACCTCCTGTCCGTCATCACTATTTGCAAGAAGCATCTGAACACAGTCATATCTAGATATCCCAATTAAGCTTGAGGCCACTAGATCCGGTGGCTTCGAGCTCATGAAGCCACTAGATTGATCAAGCCCTCAGGGAAAGCAGGGAATGAGAAGAGGGTGCACAACAACATATTGTGGGAGGCTAAGGTCGTCGGATACATGAGAGGGGAGGAGGGTGAACCGCACTGTGCACAAAAGAGGGGGCGGAACGGGATAGTTGGGTATGCACCACAGCTCGAGAACTTAGCCGACTACTTCGCTTTCTACGGCTTATGAGTATCGCTGCTGTGTTAAAACTAACAGTGATTTATACTATCATTGCCCCTTTTATCTTTAGTTAGCAGCGAAAAATGTACCTGTGATCTTAGAACTGACAGGTTCATCGAAAAATGTACTCCATCTCTTCAGAAGCCCATTTGTATGGTAGCTAGTGCTGTAGTGCACGCGTTTGAAGGTGACAGAGATGGAGTGTCTAAGGTAGCATATGTGCGTGCATGGCAGAGCAAATAGAAGGTTAGGAATTCACAATATTTGTCCCCTAATTTCCTGTCGATTGACATACAGAAAATCCATATATAGATGCACACAAATAATTCAGCAACATCGAAGACAAATAATATTGCTGACTTAACTCAGTAAATAACTGATACAAATTAACTGTCAATATACATATATGTGATATGGGATATCAACTTTAATTTCCTACATACACCAGCCGAGCAACTGACGGAATATTGACACTACCGCGCAAGCTTTTCTGCTTCTGATGATAAATCAAAGCACGGTAGTATGAGCAAAGTGTTCACTGACTTGCTAGATTTTACATATACATATCAAAGGGGGCATCAACTTTTGCAAGGTCTCCTTCTTGAACTGAAGCTTCTTAATTTGCAGATCCAGAAGCTTAATTAATTATACTATAGCTAGCTACCTCTCACTCCCATAGCATCAAGAGCAATCAACCTTACAGGTAATTTTTTTTCTTACCAGAGAATGACTGCTCATGATGTTATGACGACGTTACTCCTGCACCCAATGCACACTCTGTTCTCCATTCTTAAGAGACCTATTTCGTCTGTAGCCTCCTCATGCATCAACATATAGTACTCGCTGTGCCGCCACGCTTTGTATGCACGAATCTCAACGATGCATTCTACCGTAGGATCCCGCCGAGCGGCGCCGGGGCCCAGTAGTCAGCGGCATTGTCCCCTCCAAAGTGCGACGTGCACGACACTGGAACGAGGCACAGCCCCCGGCTCCTCAGGTCCTTCTTTCCATCGTCGTTTGCTCCCTAATAACAATTATCAAATGCCATGAAATTATTATACAGAAAAAAATACATATAGGAGCTAGTAACATGCATGTTAATTTTCGCAACTATTATCAGTATATATAGTAACTATATGTAGGTGCTTTTAGTGAAAAAAAGGGAAAAAGAAACATATGAGTATGGTATTAATTTTGCCCTTGAAAACTTATATATAACAACATGCCATGCACTCTAGTCGACACAGTACTCATGTATATACATCATTGTGAAAATGGCTTTGAAGCTAAGCAAAGAGCATACATACCTGCTGCTCAGGTTGGGCTGCAGGCTGCTGTGCTCCAGTGTTGCCATTATGGTTTAGCAACTGCACAAGGAACCACACACAAACAAAAAAGATATAAGGAAAAAAGTGGCTTGGAGCTGGAAAGGAATATCTATATAGATAGATTATATTCTTATATCTATAAGAATTAATAATCATGTGCATGTACAGATCTACACTAACCTGGCCAGGGTATTCCGGGAAGAGGCCAGGGTTCCTTTCTCCAACTGGTCCCTATAAAATCAAAAGGAAAGTAACTGTGTCACATGTCAACGTTGCACGTACAAGCGTGCAAAAAAGCTGAGGGGAGAATATTTTTTTGGGTGTGGTAAAATGATTGAACCCATGAGTTGTACTGGCCCATGGTTGTCTCAGATGCATATGGCCAATGTCAACTAAACTAAGAACGTTATGGTGGTAATATCTATCTTATCCATGTCTGTGTACTTTGCATGGGTTTTTTTTTTCTCTCATGTGATGATGACACAATTAATCTTGTACTAAGCTGTTTGAAAGTTTTAAAATGGAGAAGTCAATTTTACTACGATGAACTATTTTGCTGCTTCACTTGAACTACTGAACTAAGACACTTTACTTAATTGCAAATGGCATTCCTCTTTTTTTATTCTCCTTATATAAGTTATATTTTAAGTTGAAATCTTGCGAGGTGATATATTGCGTGAAACCTTTTTGTACAGGAATACTTTTTTATATAAACCTATGATTAATTTAATATATGAGATAGTAAAGTGGATTTAGTAGCTATAAATTTTTTTTTGAAAATAAATATGGACACAAGGTATAATTTTTCTTGAATATTTTTCAATCAGTTTATGAGAAATTTAAACTCTTAAGTAGGGTCTTAATTTTCTTGATATCCAACATTGTAGACTTTTCATCGATAATTTATTCCATGCTTTAAAAAAATTGAAAACTACTGGTTTATGTCCCTTCTCCACGGGTAATAAAAATGTATAATATATAACCGATATAGTTTTACGCAAATAGATATGAACATTTTATGTGCAGAATAAAAATTTAACACAGAAAATAAATTATAATATAGTTATACTATACAAAAATAGATTTACAGACAGAAAAAATTGGCATGTTAAACTTTTCTTTGCTTTAGAAACACAAAATTTATACATCTACAAGAGTGCATTTATATTAATTGGTTTTTAGCGGCTAATATGTTCTAGTCGATTTGATGCCTTAAGCATGCTAAGCTTTAAAAAAATTATATATATCATAGCTATACATATTGTATATATGCAGTAGTAACCCTCATTGTCTGAACAATATGCCATTGATGGCAGGAGTTTCATGCATGTATAAAGGACATGTAGTTATTCAGTGGCATATACAAAATTAATTAATTTGGGAGGTTATTCAGATCTATTATTCTAAACATATAAATCATCAGGACATACTCACTTGTTTTAAATTTTTTGAGTTACTATTTCTTATATATATCTAATCAAATGCCCCAATTTTTAAGGAAATTTTTCTTCCATTCCATGAAAAAAAAACACGTGCAACTATGCATGGATTTGCAAACATGAAAATATTTTCTGGATTCGCACATAAATTCATGGAGGTTATATATATTTGTTTTCAGAACAGAGCTTGCCGTCATGCACGTAGTATAAAGATTTATAAAAGATCTAAAGCCTTTGGCCCCAAAGGTCACCAAAAGGATGATCCTACTCAGCCTAACCTTTGATGAAAGGGTTTTTTTTAGAATGCCTTTGATAAAGAGTTTTGTTCACCTATGATAGTATGGATCTACAAAGCCAAGGCAAAGCTAGCCTAAGTTCGCGTTGCACGGCACCCCTGCACGTGTGTAGGGCATCTTCTCGCTCGTATATAGATACTCCTTTCCTCTTTGTGCTCATATATAGCCTTATACTACGTGCGTAAATATGAGAGAAAGAGAGAGAGAGAGAGAGAGAGAGATGCAACAACGAACTTACATTTTGCATAGGACCGGTCCCGTTGGCGTCGCCCATGTAAGGGTAGCTCAGAGCCTGCACACACAAGAAACAACATCCTATGGTCATCAAGAGAGACATATGTTTGTTTTTTTAAGAAGATAAATATAGAGCTAGGGCATGAACAACTAGAAAATTATTAGCGGTTAATTGAGTTTTAATCATTACAATTTTGAAAAAAAGAAAAGATTTATCTAATATTTTAAAGCAACTTATTTATAAAAATTGTTCACACGAAATACACGGTTTAGCAATTTTAAAAACATTCAGACGGATACCGAGGTAAAACCTACATTTTAGTTAGAAAAAAGAGGGCAAGAGATGTAGAAAGCTAGAAGAGCAGAGAGAGAGAGAGAGTCAATCCTCTACTGGTCTCTGAAACACATAAAACAACTACTCTATTTTATAAAAAATCAATCTAATACCGGATGTGACACATTCAAATACTATAAATTTTGAGACATAGAACACTACTACTACCTCCGTTTTTTAATAAATCACACTTAAAGTACTATGAGTGATAAAATAACTCATAACAAAATAAATTACAATTACGTAATTTTTTTTAGTAAGACGAATAGTCAAACATGTGAGAAAAAGTCAACAGCGTCATCTATTAAAAAACAGAGGGAGTACAAAACACCTAATAGGTATCGACTTATAGGTGTCGATTTATTTAAAACCAATACCTATTTAACCGGTCTCCCATCACTACGAGACGAAGAACTAGATAACAACGACATTGCACTTGGCTAAAACGACATCTCCATCAATCGATCTCGCTGCAGCCGCAGATGCAGATGCAGATGCAGCTGCTGAAGCCCATGCACGCACAGCCATGACCATGAGCCATCTCTCGCCGTGCAGCTAACTTTAACAGCGTGCGCTCCCGCTCAGACCTAGCCCGGCCCCGCCCCCATTTTGCATGCATATTCTCTCCCATCTTTTCGTTTCCCGCCCGCACTGTGTGCCAGTATCACATGTACCTCCTCTACGACTACTGTCCCTTACTTGTGGGGACACTCCTCTGTGGGCCCCACTTTGCAGAGGCAGAAGTTTCTTTTCTTTTTTTCCTTGGAAAAATGTTACTGTGGCTGAAACAGCTAGAGTAGCTGAAGAGACTGGCACAATGCTGCAACTGCCTGCAGTGCAAATATTCCCTGTTCACCCATACTTATTCCATCTCAATGTCCCATACATATACTACTCTTCTGTCTTAAAAAAAAAGACAAACCCACATATATCCAGATTCGTAGCTAGAATTGAGTTTTTTCTTGGACGGATGGGGTATGCAATATATATGCCCATTACAAAGAAGATTGATCACACTCTCTCCATTTTAGAATATATCTATTTATAATTAGGAACTTGATAAAAATAACGGGAAGTATTTTTTTTCACCCTCTAAATTAAACACACACGCACACACGCAGACAGAGCTATAGAAAGTGAGAGAGAGAGATTGGACCTCAATTTGACTCAGGAGGAATCTGATATAGCCAATGGTCTCTTGCAGTACAGACGCTGTGTCAGTCTGTAAAAGGAGGCACGTGTGTCAGAGATTTACTTTACTTGGACACAACCCCTCGAGTGAAAACCAGCAACAAAGAAATAAAGGAGCTACTCTTACCTTGCTACTGGCTCGATGCATGGCATGGCACAAACTATAGATAATTGCATGTAACATCATCAACATATGAATAAAACTATTCTAAGTCATCCATAGCCTATTTGCATACTGTGCATGACAACACATTCAGATCTTGATGTAATCCATCTCCCTCTATACTTATATATATATAATGCAACTGATTGTTGCTAGCTTATTACTAATCTCTAAAATTAACCATGAAAGCGGTTAACTGAAGTTTCATGTCTTTTTGTTACCTTGCCAAATGGGGATACAATCTGATGAAGTGCAGTTATTCTATCCCCTAGCCTCTCCTTCCTCACCTGAAAACAAATTATCACACCTAAGAAACCTCCTAATGTAAGGATTATGTTAACATATATACTACATAATCCAAGATATTCCAAATGGAAACTACTGCCAAATGTTGTGATTTTCTGTGCACGAACTTCCAAAGTAAGCACACTTTATGCGTGCGTGCAGAGAGAGAGAGAGAGAGGGATGGGGCTTGTGTGCCATGGAAAGCAGGGAGGATGATGAGGAAGAAACCTTTAGAGTAGATTGTGCTGAAGAGGAGGCCTGAACCCTAGCCTTCTTGAGGGCCGAACCAGTCGCTGTGCTGTTACACTAGAGAAAGACAAAGAAAGGCAAAGCGTGAATAATCATGACCCCAATTTCATCTTGTCCCGAGAAGAAGAAGAAGAAAAAAACACACATCTCTCTACCCTCTCTAAAGTGAATTCTCTCCCCAGTGATTCTACATCTAAACATTCACTGACCTCTCATGTACTACTACAGCAGTTAGCCATAAAGAAGAACAAGGCTAAGAGTATGACCAAATTAAAGATCTCATGTTAAGCTAGCTCTGTCAATGGATACTGTATACATGACCAACACTCTTACCAAGATATCATGAAAAGAACATGCTATGCAAAACATCAAGTGGTAACTTTGACCAGAGTGGATTTCCCATGGGACATGAAAACATGTACCTTTTTCATGGAAATAAATAATAATAATAGCACACTTTCAATTCGTGGAACTATGGAGGACAGAATGCACCATTGCCAAGAGATTGTATTAATTGAGTATTGACAGCCCGTAAAAGCCTTGGCCTAGAGGATCATTAGGGAGAACATGATCAAACTTATAACTTTTCCACCAAACATGTGTAGCAGTATGAGGAAGAGAAGTATGCTTTGGAAACTGCAACTTTTCAAAGAGGGGATGAACATAGCTTATATACTCGATGAAAAACCTAAAGATCTGTCAAACACGTAAAATTCTCATTTTGGATACACCTGGTAATCCATTGCATTCCATGTAGCTATTTTTTTTAAAAGAAAATAGAATATGAAGAATACATATCTCTGGCCTCTAGACCTACAGTGCATCCTGCCTTATGTATGCATATGCATGTATAATTGAAACAAGCCATAAAAAATGCCAAACATTTATCTAAAAAAAATTTTGGAAAATGACAAAGCAAAAGAGAACAAGATGCAAGACCAATACTACTTGAGAGCTAATGATCTACACACACCAAGATCAAATTACAATCTTACCTCTGATGAATTATCGGAGTTGTGGTGGTGGCTCCGGAGCTCCGGCGGCGCCGCGGTGTTGGAGAAGTCGAGCATGTTGCTGCCGAGGCTGGTGGTGATGCATGACCTAGGAGAGGAAGCCATGAGCATCTGGCTCAGCTGAGACTTGTTGCTAGCACCTCCTCCTGCTGCTGCTGCTTGGATCTCATGCTGATGATCACCAGCAAGGTGGCTCCCATAGAAGCTGTAAGCAGCAGCAGCAGCAGTGGCTGCAGCTTGAGCCATGGAGCCCTCCTCCTTCATGCCACCAACCATGCATGCACTGGCTGCAGCTGCAGCAGCGTGATCTCCCCAATTCTCTAATCCCTTTGACAGGAGAGCCGCAGTGGCGCTGTACCTCTCCTGATCTCCAGCTAATCCCCCACTGTTTTGATTGCATGCAAAAAAAAGTGCAGTTAATTAGCTTTGTTTGCACAAGGAGCACACACACAGATGAGCACAAGAACATGAGTCCATGGAGATGGAAACAACTGCAGCAGAGTTAGTAGCATGAACACATGCTTGTATATATCTCTCTGATGATGGGTTAGCAGAAAAGGAGAAGAACATTAGGAAAGGCTTGATCTACTATAGGACAAAGTGGGTTAACCACTTTATTCCTTCTCCCTAGAGCTACACTTAAGTATGCTGTTTAACTATAGTTTAATTTACATGGATGTGCATGGCTGGCTTGTTTCTTATTTGAATCTCTCTCTCCCTGCTTGAACATGATCAGGAGGCCATGAACTGAATATAGAAAATAGAGATAGATAAGGAGAGAAGAGAAGGAGAGAGGTGTTTACAGAAGCAGTTGGCTCCATGACTCCGGCATGCTGCTCTCATGGCCGCCGCCGCCGCCGTCGTGCAAGCTCGGAAGAGAAGCGGCGGCGCCGGCGGTGCCGTTCATCGGAACTAGACCTGGAGAGCTGTGCTGAAACTGCTGCGAGAAGATCAACGATGGAGAAGACAAGGAGGGCATGTTAGGAGAGGCCTCTTGATCCTCATGGCATGGCTTCAAGCTGCCCATCAAACTGCCGGCGCCGCCGCCGCTGCCGACGCCGGTAGCCGTGCCTGTACTACTGCCGCTCCAGATCATCTGCTGCACCAGGGAGCTCTGGAATTCTCCTCTATTCATCACTGCTAGTGACAGAGAGGAGAGTATTAAAGGATATGTAGAAACAAAGATGATGAGTTCTTGCTTGCTTCAAGCTAAGCTAGCTGTGGGAAAGGAATGTGTGTTTTGCTAGCTTAGCTTTGGCCTCTCTTTGCATGCACACAACTTGTGTACTGGAAATCTCAGGTCAATCTTAAAGGGGCCAGTGGCTTAATTTTCTCTTTGAGGAGAGAGAGAGGACAGCTGCAACAACAAGGAGAGAAGAAAGAAACAGGAGAGGAGAGATGGAGAAGAAGAAGAAGAAGAAGAAAAAGCATAGGGCCTGTTTGGAGAGGAATCTGGGCTTTGTTTTGTTTTCCTCCTCTCTTCCTTTTGCTTCACTCCTTTATTTTGTGAACTTTCCCTTGCTTTCCTCCCCCTCTCCCTGCAGCCTCTCTCATTCTTTTTCTCTCTTGCTCTCACATATACATACATGCATACATTTTTTTTCTTTCTCCCCATAAGTTTTTTCTTTTCTTTATTTCCATTCTTCCCTGTCACTTTTGCTTTATCATTAAAGTGATGTAGGAAAGGTATGTGAGACACACCATTCCGGACCAAAAGGAGCGGTTTAAAGACGAGGCCGGTGCTTGTTAATAATCCTGGTTACGTTTAATTTCATGTAGTACCTTTCAAGCCTCCAATTAATTGATTGATTAATTAATTAAGTAGGAGCTGATGATGATAATTAGCCATGATATGAAGACGCTGTTAAATCTGTAGTGTGTGTAGTAGATGCAAGAGAGTAATTACCTCTGCAACACGCACATACACAGGGGATATATATGCAGCAACAGTAGTGCACGCATGCATGCACGCACAGAAAGCGATCATTTAGAAGTGGAAAGAATATCCGTTTACTTAAAATATTCGTCCTCTCATGAATGTGGCGTTTGTATCTGTATCAAGGAAAAACGGAAATGATACGGTTTTCTTGCTTTATTTCAGGGAAAAAAAGTACTATCAGTGTACTATATAAGTAGTGTAAATTCTTTTGGAATATAGTATATATATACATGTTTTTTTAAAATAGGGAAGTGTAGTAGTGTACTCTCGCTCTCTACGTTAACTACTACCTCCATCCAAAAAAACCGTAGTTTTGCACTGTTTATGTCCAATGTTTGACCGTCCGTTTTATTTAAAATTTTATTATAATTAATATTTTTTTATTGTTATTAGATAATAAAACATGAATAGTATTTTATGTGTAACTGATTTTTTAAAGTTTTTTATAAACTTTTCAAATAAGATGGACGGTTAGACGTTTGATACGGAAACCACAATTGTTTTTAAAATGGGACGGAGGTAGTACTAGATGCACACAACAATTACAGTACCATCGTTGTTTTGTTAAATTACAGTACTTTGTTTGGGATCTAACGTGATACTATATATATTAATTGCCAACATGATATTTGGTCGTATCAGTTCGATCGGTAAGGGGATCCACCAAAAAACAAAAGTTGCTTGACTAGCAACCGAACAGGTGAGGACCAAGCAAATCTTGTTTGTTTTGAGAAAAAATGTTTTGATGCTCGATCGCCCAAAAGCTGATAAAGCATAATTGTGAAACAAACTGATTGATTTAAAGCTATCCGCTACTTGTACAGCTTTCTTTAAGGCTCTCATTTTTTCCCTAAAGCACATATATTATAGTAGAACAATATTATGCCCTCTGCATTTCTATTTGAAAAGCCCTAGGATCAAACTTTCATAAAGAAGTATTATTCATAACTAGTGGAATATATCTCAGTTGTATTATATTATCCATGGAAACTAGTGGAAAATGTAGCACAACGTAAATTTAGCATATGCATACACTACAAAGTTCAATTAACAGCATCTACTTAACTGGTACATGTATATTCATAATTTGTTACCATGTTTGGTCTGTTTAAAGCATGCAAAGGCTTTTACATTCAGCAAATGTAACCTTACATCAATTTATATGTATAATTAGTTTGCATATATAGTACTTCACTGTTTAGTTCAATAATTATTCCATGAAAAAAAATAAGCAATCCAAGATTCCTATTAGAAACCCAAAACAAATTATCCCACTCAAATAGCTCAAATAGAGAAACATGTTTTATATACAGATCTGACTCGCCCAAGAAAACAGTACTCAACTTCCACTCTGAATTTCCATGTCTTCTATATATATCATCCCAATTTTTTTAACCCATGTTTATTTTCCTTAACTATTCACAAAAACTCAATATGAGATTGTTGAATAAATTAATGAGTTAAAACATAATTTTAACCACTGAATAGATCATTAGTGGTTCTTTGTGAATATGCCAAGAAAACAATAATTCTTACACCTATTAAAGAAGGTATCAGTAATGTCTAGATGCATTAGTGATTTCTGTCAATTATTCCTACCGATCCATCATAAAAAAGTCTTATAGTGTATTTTTCTACGTTTCGCACCCACTAGCTTGCTCTGAAGTCTAGTAGTAAATTCACCACTCCACTTTCTCTAAACTTCCTTTTGACGAATTTATCCTTGAAATGACATGCAATAGTCCTTCCATATATGTTATTGTTCTTATTTTTACCCAATAGGGTTAAAATTTTCATATATGTAGAATACACAGTAATTAATTAAGTAGCATCTGCAAAAATGAGAAGTACCCCTATAACAAAAAAAAAAGTGAGAGCGTGTTTCATGCAAAACTCAAATAAAATGCCCTTGAACAATATTAAACATGTGTGTTTATTTTGTTGTGCATGGTAAACACCATTATTTATCTTATTAGAATAACATATGGACTCATGGAAAAAAATGGATTGAACTAATGCAAATATTGTTAGAACTTACATCTGGTATAGGTGAAACATTCATCCTAACTGCGATATTCACTTTCGATATATTGAAATAACACAAATATTGAAAAAATATTATTAGTTATTTTATGGTTCTTATGAATGTAAAAGCTTTTATAGTATAAATTTTTGTACTACTAAAGAGTAGGTCTGAGATATAAGGTGATATCAGAAACTAAACTAAAACTAAAAATTATGTTACCAATTATTACCTCCTCAATGAACTAAAAATGCTCTTGGGGTTTTGTAGAGTTTTTTTTAGGAAACAAAATTCTGTAGTAATTGGATCCATAATTCCTCCCCTTCTTTCCCAAACTTTGAGGTAACTTTGGATTCTGTAGTAATTGATTATAATATTGTTACCTCCTCAATGTAACAGAATGTAAGCATGATTTTATAATTATTCACTCCCTCATTTTTCGTGCGCACGTTTTCTGAATTGGTAAGCAATGCGTATTATATTCACTCCCTCAATGTAACATTCTACAAGAAAGTTGCTTTAAAAATTATATTAATTTATTTTTTAAGTTTTTTAGCTAATATTGAGGGCATGGTAGAGCTCCAACTCCTTAATTTAGCTCCAGGAGATGGGATTGGAGTTGTGTTGTGGAGCAGTTTAAACCTAGCTCCACCTCTCTAGTTCATTTTATGAGAACGCTCTACCCAGCTCCGTTCCCATTTTAGGTAAAGTTGAAACTGTTTGGCTAGGCTCTAGCTCTAAGAGAGGTAGAGTTGGAGCTGTGCCAAACAGATCTTGATTTAATCATGAGCTAATGAATTGCTCCGTTTCATGTGCAAGGGGGAGAAGTACCCAACCGGAACATTCAAGCTTAGCCTAAGGCTGAGTTTAGGAGGTGGACTTAGAAACTCCACATCCCCGCACAGAAAACGGTATTGCCCATTAACGCTTGATTAATTAAGTATGAGTCTAAAATACTTCAAACATAGATTAATATGATTTTTAAATTAACTTTCTATAGAAAACTTAAAAGAAACGCATCGTTTAACAGTTTGTAAAGCGTGCACGCGGAGAAAAAGAGATACGAGTTTGGGAAAGAAGGGGAAAGAACACAGCCGAAGCAGGGTTCGTGCAACCTCCTCAACCATAGTACTAAATTTACAATTTTGCATTATCTGTGCGAAACAATAGCACGATTTTCTTAAAAAAAAGAAAAGCGTAACATCATGCTTACATTCTGTTACACCACCTACCTTGGAATAAAATTCCTTTTGCAACCATGCCAGGACAAAATTTATGTGACAAAAACAGCACAAGCCACTCGCGAGGCCGCGGTGGCTTGATGGCGAAGTGATGGAGCCAAGTCCAGCATCATGTCGATCCTACGTGTCAACTCCAAAAAAAATTAAAAAAAATCTGGCCCCAAGAAAAAAAATCGTAGAATGCACGTCAACAAGAAGAGGATATACACACACATGATCATGATGTATAATCACATGCTACTCCTTTTGAAGTACATGTCTACGCACTAGTTAATACAGGTTAATTCCTTTTGGGCTGCATCATTTAGCTTGGAGAGACAGTATCTGATAAAAACATGTACTCGTACATTAGAACACGCTAATCACTCCATAATCCTCACTGTCTCCCTCAGTCAGTCATGTCAAAGAAAGCAGCCAAGCTGCAGGCACGTGTAGGGCAATAAAATAAATATATCGTTATAGCTGCCTAAAATGCGTACTACATTCTTCACCTCACATATATGCCTATATAAGCTAGCTGATCAATAAATTAATTAAAATAGGGATCGAACTTTAGATTGGGAAGTGTGTGACTTTCTCATATTATCTAGCTGTGAGAGATAACATATTTTTGTAGCAAACAAAATATATGCCCAAAAAACTGCCTTAGTTAGTTACTACTATATGAAGTAGCTAGCGTGGATCCCAAGAGAAAGATAAATTTAAGCCTATAGCAATTTGGATTATCCCAATCAAACCATCAAAACTAAGAGTACACTTCTCTTTCTCCAAATTTGTACTGCAACTAATAGCCAAAAATATGAAGACAAAAAAAAGGCAGGTATATATATTATGTACTCTTCCGTCCAAAAAAAAAACTAGTATTAGAGGAGATTTTTCCTAGTACAACGAATCTGTATATGGGCTTAATTATCCAGATTAGTTGTACTAGAAAAATTCTAATCCAATACTATGTTAGTTTTTTTAGACTAAGAGAGTAGAAATGAGTCGTATATACATTAATATTTATGAAGCTAATTAAGAGAGGATATACAGTGTAACTAATTAAATTGATCGCAGAGAGGGTGAGGAGCAGGTGATAAACTATATACTCCATATAAGTGTGTAATGATTTTACTTTCTAATGAAGTCAGAGGGGGGCGGAGGAGAGACATGGATGTGAAAGCAAGTGCAGGTACATGAATGAAGGAACATTTGGCGTCTTTTTTCGTGTAGAGTGTATCGATAGATTGTACTTTAGGTGAAAGCCGCTTTAGCTGAAAGCTCGCCCCTGCTTTTGCTCCTCGATCGCTGCTTTTGAGATCTCTTGGCTTACATATAGAGC